CTGATCCTAATTAAGCAAAAACAGGAATCGGCCAAAATCGAGGGCGTAATCGACAGCGCTGCAGGTTGGTCATCGTCAGGTAGTTTCAGCTTGTCGCTTATAACAGTCAGGAAGGTCCGGCACCACACACACACACACACACACACACACACACACACACACACACACACACACACACACACACACAATCGCACAACACAAACAGGAGATCCGAGGGAGTGTGTTGCAGATTGAGTTTGCGACGCCACGCGAGTATCTGGGCCAAGAACACGTTCGCGAACGCCAGCAGCGCCCAGATATGGTGTATGCACGACAGCGAGCGCGCCAGCATGACGGCCGCCCTCACCGCCATCCACACGATCACCGCGGGCGCGGTCGTAGTCGTAGTCGCAACTCGCCTCCATATTCACCGTCGCCGTCATCAGCATCGTCACGCGCGCGTATCGGGTCGACACCGCCTCGTGCCCGCGCATATCAGCGGTCGCCCGAACGTTTTGACCACCGCGAGACACGCAGTCGACAGTACAACGGGCAGCAGCAGCAGCAGCAGCCGTATCAGCGCCCTGTGCGCTCTGATCGTGGAGACACAATTGTCGGTCGAAGGGGTCGCAGTCGCAGCCGTGAGCGGGATGCTCGCATGGATCGGTACGATGGTGGTCGTCGTCATGATGGTGGGGCGTATCGTGGGTATGATCAGGGGATGCCGCGTGGCAACGCTGAGCGCGACGTCCGTGGTCGAGTCGGTGCACTGGGCCGCAGGCGTGGTGACGATAGCCATGGCGTTGGTGGTGGTGGACGATATTACGGTGTTGGCGGTGGTGGTGGTAGTCATGGTCGGGGACGGGAGCGCAGCCCTATGAGGCAACGACGCGATCCGGGTATGTGTGTGCATGTGTGTGTGTGTGCATATGTGTGCATGTGTGTGCATGTGTGTGCATGTGTACATGTGTGTGTGTGTGTGTGTGCGTGCTCGGCCCTGTGTGTTCGGCACGTTGTTAACTTACCACCTTTCTTCGTTTGTTTATGAGGATCTTGCTCACTCCCTCGAATCGAATGTGCTCGTGCATGTATGCAACTTTGGCGCCATCATGTCTACATGTGCAGTGCGTTCGCCGCCGCCGCCGCTTGACCGCTACAGGCACGACGCGCCTGCACCACCACATCCTCACGCGTTCTCTCCTCAGCATCCACCTCAGCAGTCGCGTCCACCACCACCACCACCACCACAGCCTCAACACTACCCACACGAGTCACATCCACCGCCACAGCAACATGTGTCCCCGTATGCATTCGCACCGTCACACCCACACCCACATGCGCATGCCCACGGGCACGGCGAGCAGCAGCAGTACCAGCAGCAGGCACCACCATCACCATCGTCATCGTCGCCATATGCTGCCCGACCACGCGAGCATGCGCCGCCACCTGCCGATCGCTACGCCACAGCTCAAGCGCAAACAGGGCACGAAGGGTACGGAGGGTATGGAGGGTACAGTAGGTATGGGCAGCAGCCTCGGGCCCAACGTCACGCTCCACCACACCCGTACCACCAGCGGCAGGCTGGGGAGGTTGCATACGCTCGTGAACCCCCATTGCAAGGCAAATACACCTCATATCCTGGTACGTACGTACGTGTGTATGTGTGTGCGTATGTGTGTGTGTGCGCGACTGTCTCTTCTCTTGCTGTCTCTGTCTCGATTTCCTGCCCTGTCTCTGCCCCTCCGTGTGTCGCCTGCATGTGTGTGTGTATGGGTGTGGGTGTCATATCATCGTCCAGTCGACTGTGTATTTGCGTGTCCAACAGCCCAAGCTCACCCACATCATCTCCCTTCCATTTATCGCATCACCCCTTCCCCCTTCACCGGGATAGGACCGCCACCTTCGTCACACCCGGCCACAGCCCCGCCACCAGAGGCGTATCACGACCACCAGTACGAGCAACAGCACCGGCCACCACCACAGCCGTTGCCGTCATCGTCGTCATCGTCGCTGTCAGCGACCGCGCCTGGTCATGCCCCTCTGGCTGTGGACAGTGTGCTGTACCCGGGAATTCTCGCGAGTGCAGGCAGCGGTAGTGGCGGTGGTCGTGGCAGTGGTGGTGCACGCGTGTCGACGGCTGTGCCATATCCCTACCACCAGGCACCGCCGCCATCGTCGTCATCCGCAGTTTCATCATCATCATCATTGGTTGATCCTCGCCTCGCAGCGTTCAAGTAGAGACGGAGGCGTGGGCATGCATGCAGGCAACGGCGGGCAGAAGCACAAGTAGCCAGATAGCAGGTGTTGGCGATGATGCAACAAGCGACGATGGACGCATTGGTCGTGATGGCATTGATCGTGATGGTATTGGTCGTGGTTGGTTCGACAAGTGGCAACGTGGCGTATGATCGAAGGAGGTGCTGGCTAGTCACCGTGGCTGTTGCTGCTGTTACCGGTGGTGTCGATGGTATGTGTGCAACAGTGAAAGGGGTGAACAGGAATGGCCAGGGGAACGCAACAGAGCAGCAGTCACGACATTGGAAGGATCAATCAAACAAGGACATGGAATTGAACACTCTCTGTGTGTATGTATGTATGTATGTGTGTGTGTGTGTATGTATGTGTGTGTGTGTGTGTGTTTTGACAGAGCTGAGCGCGCCCTCCCATTATCCACACTGCCAGCCCCAATGTGCCGCTTCCGCCATCCCATGTGAAAACACAGAAGTAGACCCACGACAATAATGTTCTTCTCTCCGTTTATGAAAAGCAGCAACAACACGGGCGCACTCAACGCCCCGAAAGTGCCCCCACACAACAACAACAACAACAACACACACACACACACACACACACACACACACACACACACACACACACAAGCAAGCGAGCATCGTCAGGCTCTGAGAGCCTCTGTGAATGCCTCCAGCAAACGGTCTGTCTGTGCAACTTCCTCATCGCTCCACTTGCCAGCACCGCCATCATCATCATTGTCATCGTCGCCACCACCAGCACCACCAGCACCATGACCATCATCACCCGCCTTCACGTCCTGCACCAGCTCGTGTGCTGTTGCCGCTAGGCGCGTCATGTCTGCAATGGCAATGTCCTGCGGGAGGAGGTCGCCGTGCACTTGCAAGTGCGCCGGGAGCGTGCCTGCAGGCAATGACGCAATCCACTGCTCCACCTCGTGCGGGAGGTGCGTGAGCAGCGTGATGACGTCTGGGGACGTGCGGTCGCACAGCAGTGCAGCGGCACGCCCGCGTACCACGCACACAAGGTCGTGCACGAAGGCACGTGTCGGGGTGAGCGTGTGCAGGCCGTTGAGTGCGGTGCCGTCGTCGCCACCAGCAAACTGCGCCAGACACACCTGCGCCTCCACCCATGCTGACGGCAGCCTGAACAGCTCAATGGACAGCAGCCGCAAGTGGGCGGTGAGGAACGAGCGTACATCGCCGCTCCACACAGCAGCCTTGGTGCCATCACTGCCCGCATGCGAGTCGGCCTTCTTGCTCCTCCTCTTCTTCTTCTGCGCTGCACTCTCGTCGCCTTCTCCTCCAGCTGCTGTTGTTGCTGCTGTGGCTGTCCTGCTTGGGCGTGCTGCTGGCGGTGTCGGTGCGGCCCACACGCCCGACGTTTCGCCGCCTTTGCTCGGCGGTGCGCCCATAATGGCAGCCAGCGCGCGGGTCACAAACAGCCGCTGGCTCGCAACCACGTCATCAGCAACATCAGCATCAGGTGGCAGGTCCGGCGTAGCCGACAAATCGTCGTCATCACCACCACCAAAGCCGTTGTGATCATGGTCATCGCCGGCATCATCGTTGCTATGAGCATCAGCAGTGCGCCTGTCTGCCACAGTGGCTGCGTGTTCTTGCCCTGCACCACCACCACCACCACCGACAACAACAACAGCACCATCAACAGTGCGTGTGCGTGTGTGCAGGGGCGAGAACAGCGCAGCCCGCCGGTCGTCGCCAAAGAGCGACAGCGCGCGCCCCTTGAGCTGCAGGCGCATTGTCAGATACAGCGACAGGGACAGGGCGGCGTGGCACTTGGTCAGCACGCTGCTGCGGGCACATGTCAGCCGCAGTATGGGGGAGGAGGAGGGTGTGGTGGCCGTTGCTGGTGCTGAAGTGGCTGTGGTTGCTGTTGCCGTGGCGGGTGTTGTGTCTGTCTGTCCTTGTCTCTGTGTGTTGGCTGCGTCGTCGATGCTTGCGTTGATCAAGTGCACAACAGCAGTCGCAGCAGCCAAAGCAGCGGCATCACCATCACCATCGCCATCACCATCACCACAGTCGGGCAATGTAGTTTCTTGTGTAGAGAAGCCACCGACTGTCACGTGCCGCGCCACCCCGTGAGCATCACCGCTGCCGGTGCGTGTTGTTGTGATGTCATCGTCACCGCTGCCGTATGGCAGGGTGGGTGCTGTCTCGATGGCTGGAACGAGGGCAAGCAGCATGTGCGTGATGACCAGCAGTGCGTCTGTCACCGCAGCTGCCGGCGCTGTAAGGTACTTTACACACAGGCGGTCCTTGACAAACTTCTTCACCTTGTCGTTCTGTGCCGTGAGCTCGGCCACAAACGCCTTTGCGCCGCCCCGCTGCCACACGTGCAGCACCAGCGCCTGCTGCAACATGGCGGAAGCACTTTTCGAGGTGGCGCAAGGGTCACGGTGGTTCACGAGGGCGCAGATAAACGCGTGCGCGCGTTTAAGGTTGTGCACGGCAGCCGGCTCCGCCTTCCACCGCTCTGCAAACACAACCGCACATGCAGTCAGCCACACCTCGCGGCCCATGACGGCTGCCGTGGTGACATGCACATCATCGCTGCTGCCACTGCTGCCACTGTTATCACCAACAGGTGCGCCGCCATCTCCAGTCTCATTCTTGTCGTCATCATCGTTATCAATGTCGCCATCGTCATCTTCACCACCATCACCATCAATATCGGCGTCGCCGCTGTCTGCTGCTGGGCGCAGCGTGGCCAGCGTCACCAGCTCACATGCCCGACACAGCACGGCAATCACTGCTCCATTGTTATCGGTGTTGGTGTTGTTGTCGTTTGTGGTGGTGGTGGTGATGGTGACGGTATTGTTGTTGCTGCTGCTGCCGTCTTGAACGTATGCGATGGTGCGAGATGTGACCAGTGGCCACGAGCACCACAGGGCGAGCGGTGCGCTGTCGCTAGACACTAGCACACGCGCGAGGTCGAGAATCGGGCGACCCGTTGACGGTGACGATGACTGCGATGTGCGTGACCGAGCAGCTGTTGGCGTGGTTGTTGATGTTGATGTTGCTGATGCTGCTGTTGCAATGTGGAGCGTGATCTCTGTGAAGAGGTGGCGGCAGCGAAGGCGAATGGCATCCTGCGCAGCAGACACAGCAGCACACCGTGGCGCCTTCATGGTGGTGACAGCGGCGGTGGCGGTGATGTGATGTAATGTGATGTGATGTGATGTGTGTTTGTGTTTGTTTGTGTGTGTGTGTGTGTGTGTGTGTTGTGTGTGTTGTGTTGTGTTGTGTGCGTGTGTGTGTGTGTGGTGTGTGTGTGAGGATAGAAAGGGTGAAGATGGAGGCAAGAGCATGGGGTAGCTTGTGAGGTCAGCAAACAAAACACACTTATGCATAAACATACAGACACGCACAACCATGCACACACAGTATTCACAACCACACGCACGCACAATTCACACCTGCATTGCGGCTGCAGTGGTGCCGTTGAGGATGCTGAGGACAATCAACTTGTGTGCGGGCGTGGCCTTGCTTGCAAGCACGACATCCAGCGTCTTGCGCAGCACTTCAGCGGTCATCGTGGGCTCACGATAGTCGTCTGCGGTGGCAGTGCGAGCGACACTGCGGGCATCTTCGGTGCCGTTGTCGTTGGCGTTGATGATGGTATTGTCACCAGCACATCCACCTTCAACATCATCAGCAACGTTGTCGCCACGACCACCGCGGCCACCACGGGTGCCGTCGCTGCGTTGCGCCGCGTGTGTGAGGATGGCGTGCAGGGCGGAGACCACCGCCGTTGCGCCCGCGTGGGAGAGGAGGTCCGTGAGCGGAAATCGAAGCGCCCACAGCGCCCACAGATGGACGGTTGCCTGCAGGCAAAGCCCAAGGTCACCGAGGACGACCTCGGCCACGGCAGCTGCGTCCGCCAGACCGGATGACTGCTGGAAGAGGGAAGCAAAGGCGAGGAGTGCAGCGTGGTCGCGCTCCCTGTCCATGCTGTTGGCGTTGATGCCAAAGGTGATGGCTGGGTGCGCGCCGCACGCCAACGCCTTGAGGTGCTCCGGGGTTGCGGGTGCATTGGTCGGCGTCAACACAGACGCAAACGCGCCCATCGTCACATCCTGGGCCGCCACCTCCAAGCCGTTGTTGTTGCTGTTGCTGCTGTTGAGGTGACTGGTGTTGTTGTGGTTGCTGTTGTTGTGATTGTCGTTGGGAACATCAACATCTTGTTCGTCTTTGTCATCGCCATCGATATCGTCATCGTCTGCTGCTGGTGACGAGGACGATCGCATGTGCAGGTCGCAAAACGGCAGCAAAACGCGTCTGATAATCTCCTTTGACGACAATTCATCCACGGACACTTGTTCCGGTGCTGACCTGATGTCACCGCGGTGGGTGGCGCCACCGTGACCATGGCGTGAAGTGGCAGCATCATCCCTGCCATGATGACTGTCTTGACCGTGTTCATCATGCTCGTCATCATCATCATCACGCTCATCATCATCAGCGTCATCCTTCTCCTTTTCCTCCTCATCCTCTTGCTGCTTCTTCCTCTTCCGCATCTGCTTGCGTGCGCACGTGTGCTGCGGGTGTGTGAGGCGAGTGCACGCGTGGATGTAACGGGCTGCCGTCTCCGCGTCCACTGCCGCCTCTTCCCGCTCTGCATCCAGACACAGCAGCTGGCGGAAGGCCTGCATGGGTGTGTGTGTGTGTGTGTGTGTGTGTGTGTGTGTGTGTGTGTTCTATTTGAAGTGTTGATAACGAACAAGCGAAAGCACACGCGAACAACGATGTTCGATAGACCTCGTGTTGCAACGCCCTGCCAACCAAAATTTTCCCCAACCACGCCCACCTTGTACGCGCGGTGCTGCCGCTGCCGCAGATCGCTCCACATTTTCAACTCCAACATCTCCACATCATCGCCACCAGCCGTCGACACCGCCACCGCTGGTGCTGTGGTTGTTGCGGTTGCTGTTGCATCAGTTGTTGAATCACTGGCTGCATCACTTGCATACTGGTCTGCTCCTCCTCCTGTTGTTGCTGCTCCTCCTGTTGGTCCTGTTGCTGATGACGATGATGACGATGATGACGATGATGACGATGATTGCGCCTGCTGGGGTGCAATGACCTCCGCTGCGCGCGTCATCACGGCGGCAATCAGCTGTTCAGTGGCGGCCGGACAAAATCGCCGGTCCTCAAACGCCAAATCAAGCGCCTGCAGCAATGGGGAAT